AATTTGCCTGGGAGCCTTTGCGTTTTTTCAGTATTAGTCACATGACCATGGGCGTGGCCTGATGACGTCATCACTAGTGTTATTGATCATGAAAAAGTTAACACACATGAAATAATTCTGAACTAACTAAAAATGATCAGGTTATATGAGAATAAATTTTCCTTAGCAACGGCTCGAAAAGATCGGTTAATGGGCCCTTAAGCACTTAATGACTGGCCCCAAGGGAAACAGTGAGTTTTGTTTCCCCTCGACCTCAATGTTCCCATTGAGGGTCTCGGGGAAACAAAACTCACTGTTTCCCTTGGGGCCAGTCAGTAAGTGTTTTGTTATACCTCCCGACTCAAAAATAGAAGAAAAGTGCGAAGAAATCGTTTGCTTGACGCCAACTGGCTGACAAATTTGCCCCGGTTTCAAGGAGCACGTCCTGATCACATGCGAGTCGAAAGGCCAAGTTGTTGTTTCCCTGGGGAGTTAGTGAGTTTTGTTCGCCCTAGGGAGTTAATGAGTTTTGACCCACATGACACGTTCTCCTCCAATCGGAAAACGTATTTGAGTTGGAGGTATAACAATGTAATTTGTCACCTATGAATTAAAAGGTAATCAAATGGTATATGGTTTGAACTAAGGTCGTGTTCTACTTCTGGTTGGTTAGTTGGCTGGGTGTTTTCGTGTTCTATTGGGGAAAACCCGTTTTCAGTTGGTTTGGTCGCAGAGAGTACACAAATCTTGTTGAATAGGATGCTAGTAAATAAAGGAATGAAAAAAATGGATAGCTTACCTTTGTTTCCTGGGTCGGGTTGTTCGAAAACCGGTGAACGTAAACCCAGGATTAAAAGTAAATTAAAAGTGTTAATTTGATAAATTATATGTAAACTAGTTTACATAACAGATAGTGAATGCTGCCCGTAAGTTAGCATGTAGGGAAGATCCATAGAGCCATATGTTGCCGAACAGAAATTTTTTTTTTGTACATAGTACACATAATCCTTGTTCTAGAATTACTAGCGACTAACAAGTTCTTATCTCTCGAAATAACACAAGTCCTTTTATCTTGACAACAACCAATCACCTTAAATGTCACCTGTTTAAATCACATTTATTTGTATGCACTCTATTATGGGACTACGAGTCTCTGTACAAGTTTTGTTACTTTGGATAAATGTTTTCTTCCTACAGAAAGAAAAAAAATTACCAAATTAAAATGTTAAGGCAAAACGAATAAAAAAGACATCCGCAGAAAGGCATACACTAAGCTTGCTCTCTGGTTCGGTTATACAGGAATTGCAACACAGAAAAACAGAAACAGCATAAAAGGTCAACAGACCTCACTTTGACGGCGGCCTGTAGCTGCCTGTCGCTCTGAAAAAGAAAAAAAAAATAACGAAGTTAAGATGTAGGCAAAACGAACGTATAAGCCATCAGATAACGATACAGCAAAATTTTACTCGTTCGGTAGTGCAAAAATAGCCATACAGAAGTCAAGCCTTACGGAACTTAATTTAAAAGGCACTAGGAGCAGGACAGATTTTTGTGCCATGATCTAAAGGAAAACCTCAACCAAGCCAGTTTGATCTCGCCATGGGATTGACACTTTGTGGTCGATTAAAATCAAAATTTTGACGGCAACAATTTTTGTCGAGATTTTGGTGGAGCCGAACAGATTTTGTCAGCTTAGTGCGTAGGGGCCCTACCTCGACATTGAGCCGTTCATAAATCGATTAAAACCGAATGCTTCCGAAGATTTATGAAAATTTTCTAAAAAAACAAAAACAAAAACAAAAACAAAAAAAGTACGTGAAAAACAAACAAAGAAACCAAAACGAAACAAAACAAAAAATCAAGGCCATTTGAGCTCGATCAAAAGTAAACGCAAATTATTGTAATCTATGAAGCGGAAAACGTCAATTCAAAACAGACTCACGAATTGACACGATGTCTTTTCTCGTTCTCCTCTCTCATTAGGAGCTCGAGATCCCGATTCTCAGATTAATGCGCGAAACAAGAGCCACAAGAAGTGGTGTGAGGCCCACCAAGTGCTGATGCTTCCGTTAGAAAATATTACTGAAAGATTGTGAAACTAAACACCTCATACTGTGATTATTAATTCACATTTTCTGCTTCATCTGAAAACAAAGGTGACTATTGTTTTTACAGTCTTCCGCTTCTTTTCAGTGCTTAAATACATTGATAACGTAGCGAAAGTTATAAAGTAGGTATCCCAAAGTTTCTTCCTTTCGCTAAACTACAAAAAAAGGAACCTGCGTGAGGGCTGCGCGCGCAGAAACACATTCGTAACTGTTTATTAACCATTATGACGTACGTCCAAATCACTTTCTGTGTCACACATTCTGTCGGAAATGTTGACATGGATAGGACTACAAAAACCATTCAAAGACTGCTATCAGCGATTAGCTGTTGCTCCCTTGAAATAAGACCAGGTGCAACTCACAGGTAAAAATTGGTTGCAATGGCGAACGGCATGACGCTGAGGAACGACCTAGTTGAGAAATATTTGGATGATCATCATGAGTTTGCCAAGAGCTACTTCGAACGAAAGGCAACGTCTTCTATGGTTGACAACTGGATGAGCAGCAGATCGCACCGGCCTGGATTGCGCGCCATGCAAGTGAATCACCTCCACAGAGACAGTGTAAAACCTCAAATAATTCTCAAAACAGATGGTAAGCTGAATTCGTTGTTCGGATCGGCGCGCGATCAGAGGAAACCTTCCCTACCGCGCAGTAAATCTAAACTGGAAGATTTGGATGAGAAAGAACTGTTTATGGAGTTAATCAGAGACATCGCTAACGAACTGGACATCAACATGTTAAGCCACAAAATCCTTGTAAATGTCAGTATACTTACAAATTCGGATCGCTGTTCGCTTTTCCTTGTGCGCGGTTCGCGTGAAAATAAGGTTCTGGTATCTAAGCTGTTCGACGTGACATCTGAATCAACGCTCGAAGAGTCAATAAGGTCGGAGGAAGATGAAATTTGCGTGCCTTTGGGAGTTGGTATCGCAGGACATGCTGCTGCTACGGGTGACACCATCAACATTAAAGATGCATATTCGGTAAGTTCGCAATCGTTTTTCAAGTTTACAATGGCAATAAAGTTATTCGAAAAACACAATACTCACAGAAAATAATATCTTGTTCCGCAAGTCAGGTATATCTCCCCGAAACATCAGGCAATACTTATAATTTCATAAGTCTGCTGACATGTATTGTCAAATTCTAGCTTAAAATCGTAAGAAATATCGGGAAATATCCAGCGTCTTTCGATAAATATGGTAATATTGCTGTCGTGTAAATTTGCTTTTCGCGTCGGTAAACAAAGCTTGTTAAAATCAATAAACGTTTTCTTTTACTGCTGGCCTATAAAAGGAAACTCGTTTACTTTGGCGGAAGTCAATTTAACAGGGGCCGGGGAGTTCGGATCACTGTGTAAGCTAACAACAAAAGGTCGACCTGATGGTGTGAAGAATCATTTTGTTCTTTCATTGTACACATGCCTTGCTCATTGCACCAATGGTGCTATGAGCGCTCTTTGAAACTTTGCTTATCTTGTGCCAGCTCCACTAGGAAGCAAATACACCGCGGTCCATTTACTTTCCAAAATAGATATGCTATCTTTTCTCTTATCTCGTAAAACTATGGCAAATTCTTGTTAAGATACCTTCCTTTGCAATATGTCAGAGGAGCTAAAGAAGCGTTAGAATGGAAGGGAAAATCTTGCGCTGGGCCCGGACCCAACGCACGACTATGTTATTAAGCTTAAATACTCTGTTCCTCTACCGAAATAGCGCCTAGAAAGTTAAAGAAAATTTAATCGATTTTATGGAACACTAATAATAAATGTTACTGATAAAGATGGAAAGGAGCAAATTGGTAACGAACGGAAGAAAGCTTTTCCAAACACCCTCGGATTCTCAGTACTAAAAATGTTTGGCCGGGCACGTACAAGCGAATTTTAATGCGATACAGCAGTCTAACGCGCCACTGAAGTAACACAAAATTGAAAATGTTTTGAAGGATCACGATTTTCATACCGCAAGAGCAAGCTGCGCAGCGACAATGTGGTTTCTGTTTAGTTCTTTCGATGAAAATTCCCATAACTCCTTCTGCCGACTTAGTACTATTTTCCTGGTCCATCCTCTATTTTCAAGTAGACTTAACGTTGCGGCCTCAAGAGATGTGTCATGAATCGACTGAATTTCCCTTGCAGTTAATTTTTTTGTTGGATTCATATTCCGCTGTCTTAGACCTACCAGCATTCCCGAATAAATGAAAGAGAACAAGAAGGAGGAGAAAAAACAACAAAACAAAACAATCAACTCCTATATGTTGGGAAAGCTTTATCATGAAATATTACTCCGTGTGCAATAACGGATAATAACCACCTGACTTACTTATTGCGTATAGGCAGAAGAAAGAAATATAGTCTCGGGAATATATGAAATATTATTTGTTAAAAAGCTCCAAGTAATGTAGTGCTATTGCCGCCGCGAACCACTGCGAAACACGCTTTCGACTTTTTCATAGCCTAAACAGACAGAAAAACTCTCACAATAACGCCGTTAATAAAAAGCGATAATTTACTATCGATTGCTTAACAGCCAAAAGCTGTTGATAACTAAGGGGCCTTAAAACTGAAACCCCGAATTGTCGTCGCTTGTTAGAATATTAAATAACACATTTGTGCATATATTAGTCTGGTTTTCCCGGTCGGAGAGAAATTTTCCGCTTTTCTTTTAAAGCCGACATCTATTATAAAAAGAACCCTTTCCATTAATACAATATAAATCATTAATTTTTCATATTTTTGAAATAATCCCTTTCAAAGCAATACCGCAGTTCTCTTTCCTTCTGATGTCACTATAAGAAACAAGTTGAAACGAACGAAGTATGAAACATTTTGAAACCAAAAACGTGCTCTTTTCGCTTTCAGTTTAGATTGCAATATGCAATTCAAAATAACATATGCAAACAGTGGTGTTATTTCCACAAACAACTCTCGCCTTATTCTTTTTTTTTTTTTTATTAATATTGTAATGAAGAACTTGACAGCCGCGGTCTTCATAATGAAAGCATTAATCTCTTATGAAAGGATGTCACTAAAACGAAGAATGGAGAAAGGAGAATGAGGATTGGGGAGTGGGGAATTCAAAGTTGCTGAGATTAAGCTAGACTTGCCACAAGTCGACCTTTTCTTAATCCTTGAGAGGGAAAGCGAGAGGGTAATCTTGGAGCGACGAAGTCGCGAGCGCGAGCGACGTAAGTCGGAGAGGTCTACTTGCTTCATGATGTGAATCAGAGCGTAAATTTTTGGCTTGAAAAACATGATTGACAAAATGCGAAAGCTATTCCATTGAGTAACGCCTCCTGAAAAGACAAAACCGATCGAGAATTATTTGCTTTAGTAGCGATCGACCAGAGAGCTGCGTGACAAATGCTATAAGCTTACGTATATCTAGCTTGTGTCGAGAAGAATCCGAATTTTTTAAAGAAGACGGAATTAGTCTGGGAGAACTTTAATTCAACAACAATTTATTGGTATTCCCATATAGATGGTGTTACCTAAATACAGAATCGCTAAATAATTTTAAAAAATTCAAAAACGAAACTAATTGCAACAGCAACAAGAAAGAAAAATAAACATAGTTAGTTACAAGATTCTTCATTTTAAGTTCTAGGGTTACAAAGTTCTCTTATTTGTAGTGCTTAATATGTAAAGTAACCTAGTTTTTTACAAATAAAAGTGTCAGCATTGTTAAATAGAAATATTGTTTCCTCTGTGTTATTAAAGGAATCAAATTTTGGATATTTCTTAATGATGTCATTTGTGACTTGTTGTCTAATATTATTGTATCGGTCACAATGAAATAAGAAATGCATTTCATTCTCAATTTGGTTAGAACAGCAGTACTGACAAATTCTAAGAGAAGTAGGGCAATGAACCGGTTTGTCAAAATGGAACGGCAAATTTCAGTCGTACCGGTCCGACCGGTCGAAGCGGACAACCTCCAGAGGTGGCCCCGAATATTCTGGTCGGAGCGAACTGAAACGGACCCTTCCATTTTACTTCCGACCGAAATTTCCAGAATCTTTGACATAATGGAAAGCACTACTGGATCCGGACGGTCCACATTCGCTGTGAGATCCGGATTTCTTGCCTGCTCCGCATAGGTTAATTTTTATCGTCAACAAGGGTACGATAGCGTAAATTACGCAACGCATCGCGCGCGAATCCTGAAAATTGCGCCAAACTTTTTAAAGCGTGTTTAGCATTATAGGTGGATTTTCACTGTCACGTTATTTTACGCCCAAATTGAACCTTCAAATTGACGGGAGGTTTTAATATTTGTTTTCGGGGTTAAAAGGTGTCAAAACTTTCCCGCCAAACTGAATTGGCTGGCGCTCGTCAACTGCGCGATGTTTGCCGACAGTCCTGAAACTGTTTGTTTCCAGAATTTGGTCTTTGAAAATTCTGAAAATGAAACTCCAAACAAACGAGTTAACTCAGTGGCTGATGAGAAACTGTAGACAAAAGTGTTGAAGATCAGAAAAGTATATGACAAGGCGTTCAACACAACTTGCCTTATGTGCAGATTACCGTAACGAAAATCTCCTGAATTTTGGCTGGTTTGGGTAAATATCTTATCGCACCCTTTTTGGTGCGCTTTAGCGGCATATCAGGCTCGTCTGGTCACGAACCATGGCGCGACCAAAGTCGCCTGATGTGCCGCCGAAGCGTATCTAAAAGGTAAGGTTAGGTTTGCTCAAGAGAAGCGGGGAAGAGACAGAGTTCAGGAAACTAGCGGCAATACAAGAGGGAAGAGACAAGAAAACTGCCAGTGCACACGTTTTTCTCTGCTCACTCCTTTCTGGAAAAAGAAGTTTTGGTGTGTATGTTATACTTGCCTTGGATAACCGCGGGCTGACATTTGTGTTCTGTTGATACAGTTGATAACAATTCCTTCAATAGAATATTGATACCTTATCTTCCGATATTAATAAGCTGAATTTGCTATTCGCCTGAAGAACTAACTATTGAATACGATTTTTCTCTTCTTAAACATTTCAATTTCTTGTTTCAGGATCCTCGTTTCAATGCTCAAATCGACAAGACCACTGGTTACAAAACTCACAGTATTCTATGCATGCCAATTAAAAGCCATGACGGAGAGGTACCTTGAAAAAGCAATCACTGAAAAAATAAATTATTTCTTCACTAATTTACCAACCGATCACTCAACCAGAGTTTGTTTCCGTCCAGGTCATTGGAGTGGCACAGATCATAAACAAGAAATCAGGAGAGCACCAGTTTACACAAAAGGATGAAGAGGTGAGCACTCCTACTCAGCTCTTGGCTCGTTATCAGCAGGGTTTCAAAATGGCGGTGATGATGTCGAAATGGTTCTGTGGGGATTCTGCTTGTCTAACTCTTAGCGAGGTGGTTTTCATCCTCAACAAACTTTGCTCCGCGTCCTGGATTCTTTTGTAGAAGTTTGATGACATACTTAATGCGGTCCATTCAGAAAATTCTTGGGTCCCGCACTGAGTAGCCTAGCGGCAGGTCTAACACCAGCGCTAAGACGAAATAGCAGAATGAAAGTTGAGAGTTGAGGTGTGTGTGTGTGTGTGTGTGTGTGNGGGGGGGGGGTTGCAAGTTGCCATTGCCATTATGAGAGCTAACCGTAAACCAGGCTACCGTGAGCGATATTTAGGCTTACCAAGTGTTCTTCAGGCTGAACAGAGTGCTGTAAGCTAGCTTGTATTCATGCTCTCAACCCATACTGTACACCTGCTCCAGCCGGCTGCACAACAACCCCAGGGTTAGTCTTCAGTAGGCAGTTCACAGTCTGCAGTCGACTTTCAGCGCATTGCACACTGGTTTTGGCCCATGTGCTCTATACAACTATAAAATCGATAGTTTTTTTTTTAAGTTTCTTTTGTTGAATTTTAGGTTTTTAAGAATTATCTGACGTTCTGTGGAATTGGAATTACGAATGCACAACTCTTTGAAATTTCAGTGCAAGAGTACAAAAGAAATCAGGTAAACCTCAGCTTTAAATGAGTCTAATACAAAATATAGCTCACTTATTAGCTACTACTAGCTATTAAGGAGCTGTTGACTTGGTCACTTGCTACTGTTAAACAAGGCCATTAGTTGGCAAATACTTTCCTAGCAAATGCAAAGGCTTTCAAGGTCACATCTTGTGATTAGCTTGGTACATCTGTGCAGGTCATCATTCATCATCATCATCATCATCATCATCATCATCATCATCGTTCATCATATGGGTGGTGATCATGACTGGATTTATTAAAACTGACCAAAACTATCTGGACAATAACGGTTAGCCGCGAGCCTTTTTTGCGAGTCACTTGTTTGATTGTTTGTTTTTTTTCTGTTTTTGTTTTATTATTATTATTATAATTATTATTATTATTATTATTGTATTTCTTATTATTAGACTTATTATTATTATGTAATATGCAAATAACAGGGAAACGTTCAAGTCAGGCGAATTTTAGGTAATTATCAGCTGGGGATGATATATCGACAACATAAATCAAGCACTGACACCAAAGATTCATTTACAGATTTATTTATTGGCTGCCGGTTGTCCGTTGTTTTTTTCCTCGGGGAACCAGGCTCTTAATTGCATTAAGAAAATATTTCCCCGGTAAAATCGAACGACTGGACGACCGCTTGTTTCGAGCAATTCAAAAGTGTTGCTATAAAACCAATCCGCCAGGCAATAATAATTCGAAGTTGGTTTATAAGCTTATTTACACACAAATATGTAGCTCATGGCAGTGCAACACTCACAATAGTTTAATTTGAATGAGTGAGCGACAAACCCGGAGATAAATGAACCGACCTTTTTATGTTTCTAAGCATTGTTTTCAGTTTCCAAAAGGAAAAAAAGATGTCAGCTTAGCTTATGTGCGATTAAAGCAACAAAATGCGAATGTTTAGTTACATGTATCCTGCGTAGCAGTCTTTTCCGTTTCCTTTCAGGCAAGCGGGAGTCGCGCGAGGGCACGGGGACAGAGGTAACAAACAAATTAGTGGTCCCCTCGTTCCTAACTTTTTGCTCTCGCCCCATGCGTTCGCGCGTCTTCCCCTTGGCCATCGCTTTCTCCCGCTGAGAGGAAACGGAAAAGACTGCTACGCAGGCTAAGTTACTATGGTTGGCCATTTGTTTCAAAATTGCGACAGGGTATACGCGGGTTTTTCTGCCGCGTATACTTGTTTACATACGTTACGTATGGGCTTTAAGCTCATGTATACGACCATTTAGATCGAGTATATACGCATTTTTAAAGGGCCACAGATTTGCGTAAATTCAAGCGCGGGGATATGCGAAATAAATGTCCAAATATACGCGTCCTACAAGGACCCATATATACGCGTGCTAAAAATGCGCGTATATGCGGGTCTCGGAAATTAAGTTGTATATTCTAGCACGAAATGTGCCTTTTTAAGAGAACGGACCTTCGTGTATGATAGCATTGAAACTTACTTTAACTAAAAATCGGCATTATGGCGGCAGTGGTGAAATGCCTTGTCTTAGTCTATCTGCTATTTAATGTTTGTTACTGCAGCTCCCCCAGTGACTTAACTTCTAGAAAAAGTTATGCGTTTTTTGAATGACTGTTCAAGATTTTATCCTCACGCTAATCGTAACATGGCAGAGAACTTGATCGTTCGTCGTGAAGTTACTGTGGATTCTGTTCACCG